AGCTCTGGAGCTAACACTGTGTGTATTAGCTCTGGAGTTAACACTGTGTGTAGCAGCTCTGGAGCTAACACTGTGTGTATTAGCTCTGGAGCTAACGCTGTGTGTAGTAGCTTTGGAGCTAACGCTGTGTGTAGTAGCTCTGGAGCTAACGCTGTGTGTAGTAGCTCTGGAGCTAACGCTGTGTGTAGTAGCTCTGGAGCTAACACTGTAAATATTAGCTGCTCTGGAGCTAACGCCATATATTTGCTCTGTGACTAACAGCCTAAAGCTGAGGTTCTCCTTCCATGAAGCAGCTCTYTGTCCTCCATCAGTTTCAGAAACAAACTGTCACTGCGCTCTGGTTTCATTTATAAATTAACCATAAAGCTGGATAGATCTTGTCATTTCATCAAACAGAAAACATCATAACTTTTTTAAAATACACACTGCCCAGGCTGAACAAATCCCTCTATGTACTGAGAACCTTGTGTCATGTATTTTTAGTACTTAAGTAGTACAAGTATACACAAGTGTTGTTGAAATATGAAGTTAGTCAGCAGTGAGTTTGCTCAGCCTGTAGAGGACAACACATGTCACTCAATCTACACTGTAATCACTGGTTGTTGTTGTTACACACACACACAAACATTTGTTCTTCTATACTCATGGGGACTTTGGGCTGACTTCCATTCTTTTACCAGTCTTTTCTGTAGCCTCATCCTGGCCCTCCACCATGGTAACCACGCCCCCCACCCAACCACCTGTACAACACAGCACCATGTAGGAGCTACTGCCACAGTTAGACCAAAAACTAGTACCAGACCTAAGCTCAGTGAACTGTAAACWGTCAGTAGGAGGAACTCTTCCAAATAATCTAAATATTTCTTTGAATTAGATTAACTTAATTGAAACATGTTATATATCCGACCACAGCCCAACCATTCCTGACCCCTGTCCTAACTCATCATCCTCTGTGTGTCCCTCCCTTCTGTGAACCTTCCTCCGTCTGCTTGAAGCACAGCCCATGATGACACACACTCAGTGATCTGAGTTCTACACAAACACAACACTCACAGGATTGTGTTTGTGTTGTACTAACGTTTGATGTTACACTTTAGTCAGAAAGATGAGCAGGAAGTCATTACAACATGATGGTGTGTGTGTGTGTG